CTCACACACATCCTCACACAGCCTCACTTCCAGGTAACACACACACACACACACACACAGCCTCACTTCCAGGTAACACACACACATCCTCACTCCCATGTAACACACCGCTCTAGCTCATAAGCTTCCCATCAAAACACAGTGTAAAATCTGATATAATTCTGAGACAGGAACTTTTTAATGGATGTCAGCTTATATTTTAGAATGTTCATATGGTAGTTTTTATCTTATGTGTTTGTTTGTATAGTTTCTTAGTATTTAGGTGTGGTGATCTGAAACATAAGAATGTTATTGTACCGTGCAACTGCCCGTTTTGTACTGTAGGAAAATCAAATATGTTGAATTTCCTCCATTTTCTCCTTCAGTCTCTGCTGGAGACTCACGACTCGGTGGCGGCTCAGGCCTGCGACAGCCCCCCCCCCAGCCCATGTGACTTTGTGGACCATGAAGAAGACAGGGATGATGATGAAGATGATAATGAAGGCCCAACAAACAACCGGCACCCCCCACCGGACGCCATCCGCATGGTGGGAATACGCAAAGTGGCCGGAGAACACCTGGTAGGAAACATCACAGATCTAATCCCCGCTGAGACACTTTCTGATCCGATGTCTGCTATAAAAGCATTTCACAAATAAAATCTGAGCCCCGTCCTTGATCCTGAAAGTTGTGATTTAAGCAGTTTGTATCAGATTAAATCAATTTGTGTTTCAGGGAGTGACGTTCAAAGTGGAGGGGGGAGAGCTGACTATAGCTCGTATCCTTCATGGAGGAATGATCGACCAGCAAGGACTGCTGCACGTTGGAGACGTCATCAAAGAGGTAGTCTGTTCTCTGGGTCTCCTTATTAAGATGTATGGTAGTGGGAGTAGCTTTAAGTCCAGAATTGTTAATTGTCTCTTAGATTAAGTTAACAGGGATTTAGGTTAGTAGTGGAGTCCCCCAAGGCTCAGTATTTGGTCCTCTATTTTAATATCTTTGGGCAGTATTGTAAATCTGTGAACTGCTTTGTTGTGTGTTGTTGTTGTTGTTCAGTGTTTCCCCTAGGATGGAGTCATAGCAGCGGTGCTAAGGCACGTGGGCCCAGCATAATGTGAGCGCGGAGCGCGTGGAATTTTTTTGTGTGTGCACGTGCGAAGTGCGCCCTGCCATTTTGTTTCCATGTGTCAGCACAAGAAAGGCTCTCGAGGCCTAGCACCAGGGCCGGTTCTAGATTATTTGCTGCCCTAGACGAGATTTTATAAAGAATAAATGAAAAATCTCTACAAAAGACAAATACACTACAAAAACAGAAACTTATTGATATGTAATATACGTCAAAATGGCTTGAAATGTATTCAGTATTATATGAACATGTTTGAATTGGGGGGTGGACGTCTCATCCTCTAGGGGGGTCCGGGGTATGCTCCCCCGGGAAGATTTGTTTTTGAACATTTGAAAGTAAAATGCTTCAATCTGGTGCACTTTGAGCACACAATTACTAGAGACCTGATCTAGGGGTACAACTCTAAACACTCATAGGAAAAAGATCGGTTTACATTTTAATAATCAAATAAGTATGTGAACATAACCAATAACCTACCATAGCCAATAACAAATAAATGTAACTTATTTTATTTTCGTTGTTCATTCATATCTTATTTGACCAGTTAACATTTATTTATTTATGCATATTTTTGTATCTCTCCATCTTTAAACGATATTTTTGATTACTGTCCTATAGTATACATTGGAATGATTTCAAACCTGTTTGTATTTATCCTAATAACTATAAAGGAGTGCCTTGGAAATATGCGTTTACGATCAAATACGTTTGAGACCCACGGAGATAACTTAGACTAAAATGAACTATCTAACTCAAGAACGCACAGAACTCAAGATAAAGATACCCTTCTTACTCATCGAAACTGCACATACAATATATCCGATTAAAGCTGAGACTCCACAGATTATTTAAGTAGAGTATCATCACTAAGCGATCCGAACTCGCGACAGGGGAAGCAAACACAGACATCACAACACGTACCTTTACGGAGGTTTTACGGGAGATCGTCTCACCGTAGCGTCAATCTGATCAAAAGACGTGTTCAATGGCATTAAAACGAGAAAAAACGTGGCTGAATCGGTTGATCCATAGGTTGATAATGTGTCTGTCGCTTTGTAAAAATGATTTATAATCCATAATTCAATTTGTATATAAAAATCGGAGCAAAAAAGTTAGCTGCTAATGGTAGCCAACAGTGTATGCAGCTTCCGGTTTTGGCTATGCGTCACTCTCACTCCTTATTTGTTAACGTGTTGGTGTGTGTAGAACTTCCCCTTGATTCCATTGGCTCTAGCGGTTATAAAGAGATTTCATTCATCAAAATCGACCTAGGGGGGCCAGAGATATGGAAAATCCACCCAAATGGCCCCAGAGGTGTTTTTTATTTGCTAAATCTGTCTAAAAAGGTCAAAGGTCACTTGTTTTGCATCAATCTTGATACAGGGTAATTATTATATGTTGTACTTTGGATTCCTAAAGCTTTTAGTCTACTAACCCATCATCCAAGGTTAGTTTTCACTATAAGTAAAAAATAATTTTTGAACGGACACTATAATTTACAGTTTTTTACTGTGTTCAATCTGAATTTTCTTTAAAATAAAAAACATCTATATTGATTCTGACTTTTCTACATCCAACTCACAGGTTTATCATTACTTTGAGAAAAAAGATTATTAATTTAACCCTTTTAGAAGGGAAGATATGGTCATTTGTTCTGGGAATGTCATTTTCGAGCCTGAGACCTGAAAAACAGGCTCAGGGTGGAACAGGTTAACAAGTTAGTAGTGGAGTCCCCCAAGGCTCAGTTCTTGGTCCTCTATTTGAATGTCTTTGGCTCACGGTATTGTTGTATTTGTAGTACCTTAAATCCTTGACTTGACTGAAGTTTTGATCCCTCTATACTAGCTAACTGTCTCTTCATTCGGAAAATGAGTAGATCCATACCGCTCATTTATCTGTATGCTCAATTTAAATTAAACGTTAGCAGTGGAGTACCTCAGGGCTCTGTCCTGGGTCCTCTATTTTAATATCTTTGGCTCACAGTGTTGTTATATTTGTGAACTGATAGGCTACTCATCATGTTCCCCTTCCTCAACGAGGTAAGGTAGACTGCTAGCTTGGTATGACATCCTTTTGATTCATAGTGCTGGGAGTACCTTGAATCTCATTGGTTCCTTGACTTGACTGAAGTTGAGATCCCTCAAGAATTGTTAAGTGTCTCTCAACAAGTTAGTAGTGGTGTACCCCAAGGCTCTGTTCTTGGTCCTCTATTTTAATATCTTTGGATCACAGTATTGTTATATCTGTGGACTGTTTTGTTGTGTTGGGAGTACTTTGAATCCCAGTTGTTGTTGACTTGACTGAAGTTTTGATCTCTCTTTAATAACTAACTGTCCCCAACTCAAGCCAATGAGCAGTTAGATTTTTGGGGAAAAAGGACCCATTGACTTTCTTAATACGGAAAATGAGTAGATCCAAACCACTCATTTATCTGTAGGATACATTTTAATTAAACGTTAGCAGTGGCGTACCTCAGGGCTCTGTCCTGGGTCCTCTGTTTTAATGTTTCGGGCCCATGGTATGGTTATTTTTGTGAACTCCTTGGTTACCTATATCTTGTTGTTATTGATGCATTACTTCAACACACATACTCTCATCTGAAACTTGGACAACTTTCTGTATGTTTTCTGCACATTTCTGCTCAATGCTACCTCTTTAAAAACTGCACTGCTCCAGCTCTTTTAAATTATAATGTATTGCACATATATTATTTTCCCGATGTGGTCACCTATCCCGTTCCCCTACAGGTGCCTGCTTACAGTTACTGACGTGTTATCCGTTGTGTGTGGAAGATACGTCCCCAGCTGACTCAGAAAGCGACTCAGGTTCTGGTCCAGGCTCTCGTCATCTCACGCCTAGACTACTGCAACTCCCTCCTGGCTGGTCTACCTGCATGTGCCATCCGACCTCTGCAGCTCACCCAGAATGCAGCGGCTCGTCTGGTTTTCAACCTTCCTAAATTCTCCCACACCACTCCGCTCCTCCGCTCCCTTCACTGGCTTCCGGTAACTGCTAGAATCCACTTCAAGACACTGGTACTTGCTTACCATGCTGCGAATGGATCTGGCCCTTCCTACATCCAGGACATGGTTAAACCGTACACCCCAGCGCGTGCACTCCGCTCTGCATCAGCCAAACGACTCGTTGCGCCCTCGCTGCGAGGGGGACCCAAGTTCCCATCGGCGAAAACACGTGGGTTTGCTATCCTGGCTCCAAGATGGTGGAATGAGCTCCCCATTGACATCAGGACGGCAGATAGCTTGCGCATCTTCCGGCGCAAACTGAAAACTCATCTCTTTCGACTCCACTTCGAGCGTTAGAACGATTAACGAAGCACTTTTATACTAATAAAGGACTGGATTACCTAAAGCCAGTTGAGTAGCACTTGAAATGTTTGGCTCTATGAAACCTGATATACTTATATGATTCTGTTTTCTTCAAGGTTGTGTCTTCCTGGTCGAATGTACTTATTGTAAGTCGCTTTGGATAAAAGCGTCAGCTAAATGCAATGTAATGTAATGTAATGTAATGTGTGCAGGTGAACGGGCGGGAGGTGGGTCAGGACGCCAGGGTTCTGCAGGAGGAGCTCCAGGCCACCAGTGGGTCTGTGGTTCTGAAGATCCTGCCCAGCTACCACGAAGCCATCCCACCCAGGAAGGTGAGGACACATCAAGAGGACATACTGTCAGAGACATTAGTGGGATAAATAACTGCAATTATTCTGAGTGATATTGCAATCACGATATTAAAATACATTATCTTTCTAATTCTCATTATTGTTGGAAAACATATCAAAGTGATCATGGTGTGGTTTAGTTTTAAAGAAGATCTGAACCAAACAAGTATCATTTAGGACGTCTGTAGAATAATCTCTGCCGCTCCACGATACACAATACTTCACATATTTGACCTCTTACAATTATTGTGCTTACTTCAATTTAGATAGATAGCAATAGTCCATATTGAGATTTCGATAACGATTCCATTTCAATCTGGAGAGACGGTGTTGATGTAAGAATACATATTTATTTCCAAGAATACACAAATGAATGTAATGGAGTTTTGGCGATTAGGCCCCGCTGTGTAGGAGTATCATTCGGGAGGGGAGAACCGATCCCCCCCCGGGGTGGTGGTGAATGGATAGTTGGGGTCGGTCTGAAGGGGAGCGGCTTAGCTTGACCCTGGTGGTGGTGAATGGATAGTTGGGGTCGGTCTGAAGGGGAGCGGCTTAGCTTGACCCTGGTGGTGGTGAATGGATAGTTGGGTTCGGTCTGAAGGGGAGTGGCTTAGCTTGACCCTGGTGGTGGTGAATGGATAGTTGGGGTCGGTCTGAACGGGAGTGGCTTAGCTTGACCCTGGTGGTGGTGAATGGATAGTTGGGGTCGGTCTGAAGGGGAGTGGCTTATCTTGACCCTGGTGGTGGTGAATGGATAGTTGGGGTCAGTCTGAAGGGGAGTGGCTTAGCTTGACCCTGGTGGTGGTGAATGGATAGTTGGGTTCGGTCTGAAGGGGAGTGGCTTAGCTTGACCCTGGTGGTGGTGAATGGATAGTTGGGTTCGGTCTGAAGGGGAGTGGCTTAGCTTGACCCTGGTGGTGGTGAATGGATAGTTGGGGTCGGTCTGAAGGGGACGGGCTTAGCTTGACCCTGGTGGTGGTGAATGGATAGTTGGGTTCGGTCTGAAGGGGAGTGGCTTAGCTTGACCCTGGTGGTGGTGAATGGATAGTTGGGGTCGGTCTGAACGGGAGTGGCTTAGCTTGACCCTGGTGGTGGTGAATGGATAGTTGGGGTCGGTCTGAAGGGGAGTGGCTTATCTTGACCCTGGTGGTGGTGAATGGATAGTTGGGTTCGGTCTGAAGGGGAGGGGCTTAGCTTGACCCTGGTGGTGGTGAATGGATAGTTGGGGTCGGTCTGAAGGGGAGGGGCTTAGCTTGACCCTGGTGGTGGTGAATGGATAGTTGGGTTTGGTCGGAAGGGGAGGGGCTTAGCTTGACCCTGGTGGTGGTGAATGGATGGTTGGGTTCGGTCTGAAGGGGAGGGGCTTAGCTTGACCCTGGTGGTGGTGAATGGATAGTTGGGGTCGGTCTGAAGGGGAGGGGCTTAGCTTGACCCTGGTGGTGGTGAATGGATAGTTGGGGTCGGTCTGAAGGGGAGGGGCTTAGCTTGACCCTGGTGGTGGTGAATGGATAGTTGGGTTTGGTCTGAAGGGGAGGGGCTTACTTTGACCCTGGTGGTGGTGAATGGATAGTTGGGGTCGGTCTGAAGGGGAGGGGCTTAGCTTGACCCTGGTGGTGGTGAATGGATGGTTGGGGTCGGTCTGAAGGGGAGGGGCTTAGCTTGACCCTGGTGGTGGTGAATGGATAGTTGGGTTTGGTCTGAAGGGGAGTGGCTTAGCTTGACCCTGCTGGTGGTGAATGGATAGTTGGGGTCGGTCTGAAGGGGAGGGGCTTACTTTGACCCTGGTGGTGGTGAATGGATAGTTGGGGTCGGTCTGAAGGGGAGGGGCTTAGCTTGACACTGGTGGTGGTGAATGGATAGTTGGGTTTGGTCTGAAGGGGAGTGGCTTAGCTTGACCCTGGTGGTGGTGAATGGATGGTTGGGTTCGGTCTGAAGGGGAGCGGCTTAGCTTGACCCTGGTGGTGGTGAATGGATGGTTGGGTTCGGTCTGAAGGGGAGCGGCTTAGCTTGACCCTGGTGGTGGTGAATGGATGGTTGGGTTCGGTCTGAAGGGGAGGGGCTTAGCTTGACCCTGGTGGTGGTGAATGGATGGTTGGGTTCGGTCTGAAGGGGAGTGGCTTAGCTTGACCCTGGTTGTGGTGAATGGATGGTTGGGTTTGGTCTGAAGGGGAGTGGCTTAGCTTGACCCTGGTGGTGGTGAATGGATGGTTGGGTTCGGTCTGAAGGGGAGCGGCTTAGCTTGACCCTGGTGGTGGTGAATGGATGGTTGGGTTCGGTCTGAAGGGGAGTGGCTTAGCTTGACCCTGGTTGTGGTGAATGGATAGTTGGGGTCAGTCTGAAGGGAAGGGGCTTAGCTTGACCCTGGTGGTGGTGAATGGATAGTTGGGGTCGGTCTGAAGGGGAGGGGCTTAGCTTGACCCTGGTGGTGGTGAATGGATAGTTGGGTTTGGTCTGAAGGGGAGTGGCTTAGCTTGACCCTGGTGGTGGTGAATGGATGGTTGGGTTCGGTCTGAAAGGGAGGGGCTTAACTTGACCCTGGTGGTGGTGAATGGATGGTTGGGTTCGGTCTGAAGGGGAGTGGCTTAGCTTGACCCTGGTGGTGGTGAATGGATAGTTGGGGTCGGTCTGAAGGGGAGGGGCTTAGCTTGACCCTGGTGGTGGTGAATGGATAGTTGGGGTCAGTCTGAAGGGGAGGGGCTTAGCTTGACCCTGGTGGTGGTGAATGGATAGTTGGGGTCGGTCTGAAGGGGAGGGGCTTAGCTTGACCCTGGTGGTGGTGAATGGATAGTTGGGTTTGGTCTGAAGGGGAGTGGCTTAGCTTGACCCTGGTGGTGGTGAATGGATAGTTGGGGTCGGTCTGAAGGGGAGGGGCTTACTTTGACTCTGGTGGTGGTGAATGGATAGTTGGGGTCGGTCTGAAGGGGAGGGGCTTAGCTTGACCCTGGTGGTGGTGAATGGATAGTTGGGGTCAGTCTGAAGGGGAGGGGCTTAGCTTGACCCTGGTGGTGGTGAATGGATAGTTGGGGTCGGTCTGAAGGGGAGGGGCTTAGCTTGACCCTGGTGGTGGTGAATGGATAGTTGGGGTCGGTCTGAAGGGGAGGGGCTTAGCTTGACCCTGGTGGTGGTGAATGGATAGTTGGGGTCGGTCTGAAGGGGAGGGGCTTACTTTGACCTTGGTGGTGGTGAATGGATAGTTGGGGTCGGTCTGAAGGGGAGGGGCTTAGCTTGACCCTGGTGGTGGTGAATGGATAGTTGGGTTTGGTCTGAAGGGGAGTGGCTTAGCTTGACCCTGGTGGTGGTGAATGGATAGTTGGGGTCGGTCTGAAGGGGAGGGGCTTACTTTGACTCTGGTGGTGGTGAATGGATAGTTGGGGTCGGTCTGAAGGGGAGGGGCTTAGCTTGACCCTGGTGGTGGTGAATGGATAGTTGGGGTTTGGTCTGAAGGGGAGGGGCTTAGCTTGACCCTGGTGGTGGTGAATGGATGGTTGGGTTCGGTCTGAAAGGGAGGGGCTTAGCTTGACCCTGGTGGTGGTGAATGGATGGTTGGGTTCGGTCTGAAGGGGAGTGGTTTAGCTTGACCCTGGTGGTGGTGAATGGATGGTTGGGTTCGGTCTGAAGGGGAGCGGCTTAGCTTGACCCTGGTGGTGGTGAATGGATGGTTGGGTTCGGTCTGAAGGGGAGCGGCTTAGCTTGACCCTGGTGGTGGTGAATGGATGGTTGGGTTCGGTCTGAAGGGGAGTGGCTTAGCTTGACCCTGGTTGTGGTGAATGGATGGTTGGGTTTGGTCTGAAGGGGAGTGGCTTAGCTTGACCCTGGTGGTGGTGAATGGATGGTTGGGTTCGGTCTGAAGGGGAGTGGCTTAGCTTGACCCTGGTGGTGGTGAATGGATGGTTGGGTTCGGTCTGAAGGGGAGCGGCTTAGCTTGACCCTGGTGGTGGTGAATGGATGGTTGGGTTCGGTCTGAAGGGGAGTGGCTTAGCTTGACCCTGGTTGTGGTGAATGGATAGTTGGGGTCAGTCTGAAGGGAAGGGGCTTAGCTTGACCCTGGTGGTGGTGAATGGATAGTTGGGGTCGGTCTGAAGGGGAGGGGCTTAGCTTGACCCTGGTGGTGGTGAATGGATAGTTGGGTTTGGTCTGAAGGGGAGTGGCTTAGCTTGACCCTGGTGGTGGTGAATGGATGGTTGGGTTCGGTCTGAAAGGGAGGGGCTTAACTTGACCCTGGTGGTGGTGAATGGATGGTTGGGTTCGGTCTGAAGGGGAGTGGCTTAGCTTGACCCTGGTGGTGGTGAATGGATAGTTGGGGTCGGTCTGAAGGGGAGGGGCTTAGCTTGACCCTGGTGGTGGTGAATGGATATGTGGGGTCAGTCTGAAGGGGAGGGGCTTAGCTTGACCCTGGTGGTGGTGAATGGATAGTTGGGGGTCGGGTCTGAAGGGGAGGGGCTTAGCTTGGCCCTGGTGGTGGTGAATGGATAGTTGGGTTTGGTCTGAAGGGGAGTGGCTTAGCTTGACCCTGGTGGTGGTGAATGGATAGTTGGGGTCGGTCTGAAGGGGGAGGGGCTTACTTTGACTCTGGTGGTGGTGAATGGATAGTTGGGGTCGGTCTGAAGGGGAGGGGCTTAGCTTGACCCTGGTGGTGGTGAATGGATAGTTGGGGTCAGTCTGAAGGGGAGGGGCTTAGCTTGACCCTGGTGGTGGTGAATGGATAGTTGGGGTCGGTCTGAAGGGGAGGGGCTTAGCTTGACCCTGGTGGTGGTGAATGGATAGTTGGGGTCGGTCTGAAGGGGAGGGGCTTAGCTTGACCCTGGTGGTGGTGAATGGATAGTTGGGGTCGGTCTGAAGGGGAGGGGCTTACTTTGACCTTGGTGGTGGTGAATGGATAGTTGGGGTCGGTCTGAAGGGGAGGGGCTTAGCTTGACCCTGGTGGTGGTGAATGGATAGTTGGGGTCGGTCTGAAGGGGAGGGGCTTACTTTGACTCTGGTGGTGGTGAATGGATAGTTGGGGTCGGTCTGAAGGGGAGGGGCTTAGCTTGACCCTGGTGGTGGTGAATGGATAGTTGGGTTTGGTCTGAAGGGGAGGGGCTTAGCTTGACCCTGGTGGTGGTGAATGGATGGTTGGGTTCGGTCTGAAAGGGAGGGGCTTAGCTTGACCCTGGTGGTGGTGAATGGATGGTTGGGTTCGGTCTGAAGGGGAGTGGCTTAGCTTGACCCTGGTGGTGGTGAATGGATAGTTGGGGTCGGTCTGAAGGGGAGGGGCTTATCTTGACCCTGGTGGTGGTGAATGGATGGTTGGGTTCGGTCTGAAGGGGAGTGGCTTAGCTTGACCCTGGTGGTGGTGAATGGATAGTTGGGGTCGGTCTGAAGGGGAGGGGCTTAGCTTGACCCTGGTGGTGGTGAATGGATAGTTGGGTTTGGTCTGAAGGGGAGGGGCTTAGCTTGACCCTGGTGGTGGTGAATGGATAGTTGGGTTTGGTCTGAAGGGGAGTGGCGTTTAACCAGTATTTGTGTGCATGCATGTAAACATTTGTTAGTAATTCTATCGCTCGAAGTGGAGTCGATTTACACCTTTACCAAAGTGTAAATGAACTGTTCTTCCTGACATCCGGGTGTTGCACTATTCCATAAACACCACCCACTGTAGAGCGAGCAGAGTTGAGCGTGCAGGTGTGTTTCTGCAGGTGTTCTTCAAGTGTCACTACGACTACGACCCCGCCCATGATAACCTGATCCCCTGCAAGGAGGCCGGCCTGCGGTTCGAGAGCGGAGACATCCTGCAGATCGTCAACCAGGACGACGTCAACTGGTGGCAGGTGGGAGACGCTCCATTCAGTTCAACAGCTTTCAACATGACCATAGTTACACATAGTATTTGGAGCGGTACAAATCATGAAACATATGAAACAGAAAGAGAACTGAAAACAAAGTGGCTCTGAGGCGTCCGTCAGAGAACCTCACGCAGAATGATCCATCGTCAGCTCTGAGCATTTCATTTCCATGATCCAATATCACAAAGGAACAACAGGTGTTCTCTCCTCAAGCCTTTCCTATGGCTTTCTCTCTCTCTTGAATCACCCTGATAGGAAACTATACTGCGACTAGTGCTCTGGCTCCAATATATACAATTACACCAGGTGCTCTAAGATGCCTTCAAGCATAGAAGCTACTTTAACTCACTACAATAAGATCACTAAATAATAGAACATCTACTTTACACAAAAACAACAAGAACACAACAGTTAAACTACTAAATAATGCACAGCTCCAACAGGTTTAGTACATGTTACTATCTTGATGCCAGAATATACAAGTGCATTAGTTTATTGTGTTCTCTCCTGGTTCTTCCCCGATGGTAAGAACCCTAAAGCTCCCGGGTCCCTCTCCTCCTCCTGTCTCCCACATGTATAATCACCAGCTCCCAAACACTGCCTTCTCAAAACCAAAGCATGAAACTACGGATTTGATCAACTTGAATTACACTGGGAAGATTTACTATTAACAAAAAACAACAATAAATGGATAACTATTAAATAATAAAAGTCTGTATATGGCTCCATCAGTATTGATAAAGCTGCGTACAGTTGCATCATCTACACACAAATACATGCATATAAGCAAACTGCTAAGAACCTGAACATTAAGCAGGAACACAGCTTCACTCGAACTCTCTCACTGCGTCTGCAGCCTGAGAGACCTTTCATCATTATTCTCTGTGGAATCAAATCCAATCAGAACACAGGAACCCTTCAGAGTAGAGGACATATCTGTGTTCAATATATCTTTATACGATACGATATACTTTATCGTCCCCGTAAGGACATGTGTTCTGGACTCCGTCCTGCAGTTCTGCATACATGTACATATACAAACATAGTAAACATTACAATACATGCACATATCATCCCTCATGCGCCGTCTGAACAAACACAGACGCACATACTGACCATGGAGACCTGTTGCACAACCCTCATGCCCAACATTTAAAAGTATATTGAGATAAGATGGAACTTTAGTAATCCCCGTGGGGAAATGCAGTATTTTAACAGCAACAGGGTGAGAGTGAAAAACAGGACGGCACAGATTAATACAATAACATCACATGTGTTGAGAAGCTTAAAGGACAGAGTGCTTATAGCGGTTCACTGAATCTTCTACCAGACGGGAGGAGCTGGAGGTCTGGGTGGAGAATGTGGGGGGGGGTCGGACACCATGTGTTGTGCCTGTCTAATAATGGACTGCTCATATATGTTTTGGGAGGGATGGATGTTTTTTCATTGTTTATGTTTTTGACATCAGGACTGCAGAAAGCTTACACACCTTCCAGACTGAAAACTCATCTCTTTCGACTCCACTTCCAGCGATAGAATTATTAACAAAGCACTTTTATACTAATAAAGGACTGGCTTATCTAAAGCCAGTTGAGTAGCACTTGAAATGTTTGGCTCTATGAAACCTGATGTACTTTATGATTCTGTTTTCTTCAAGGTTGTGTCTTGTTGGTCGAACGCACTTACTGTAAGTCGCTCTGGATAAAAGCCTCAGCTACATGTGATGTAATGTAATGACTGATTGTTGCTGCTTTAGTCAGTCCAATTCAAAGCGTCCGCGAGGGGTTAAACACGGGAAGATAAACGCTTTGACACGATCAAACCGTCGCTCCACTCCTTCTGCTTCGTTTGACCATTTATTGCTTATAAAAACAAGCAATAATACAATTTATCCAGGCGCTGATAACCTTAAGATGACGATGCCGCTGATGGTTGAGGATATTTCAGTGGAAGATTGTTGCAGGATTCCAGTTGAAATGTGCAGAAGGTTTGGCCTCTCCATTCAGAACCACAGTGAGCAGGTGTAGTAGAACCTTTCTGGAAGAAATGCTCATTATTAGAACATAATGGGGAATGAGGAGTGTTCACAGTGTAGTGCTATAATGCTTGGTATAATAATAGTGTAATGTCAGGGTGTGTACACTGTCAGAACAGTGTTTCCATCTGAATGAGTGTGTAACTTCATGTGGAGAAGAGTATCGGACTCTGCTGCTAATACTAGTGCACATGTCTGTATATGTGTCCCACTCTCTCGCTCTGAGTGTGTACATGTGTGTCAGGTTGAACGAAGGGGCCACTTGTAGGTTAAGGTTCATTATTATTCACAGTGCCTGAGGCTAATGAGATGCGAGGTGACAACTGGGAAAGAGGCCAGTGGTAAAACTCCCCTCACTTGATAGTGAACTTTGGTGAAGGTCAAGAAGCGGTCAATGTGACGGAACGCCTCCAGGGCACGTGTACGGAAGTATAAATGCAAACGCCTGCAGAAAGAGTTGCGGTCAAAGAAACTGGGAGGTCCTTCACAAAGGTCAACCAATAAGGGACAAGAAGGCTCGCTATAAAGGTGCGAGTACAACGTTTGTTCAACAGTAGATCCCGGGGTCTGCTTATGTCTGTTGACGTAATAAAAGTTCTATTGCACCAAACTCCGACTGCCTCCAGTGATTTCTTCAGAACCCATTAGAATTGTATAATCACGAAGAAAGTTAATAAGTTATAATGTTTAGAGGGAGGTCCGGACTTTTTCGACTAACCTAGTCCGAGATTTTCCTCCCACAGGTGAGCCAGGTTAAACATCCACTAACTCCAGAGCATACCCACCACCGATAACACGGAGACAACACCTGATCATATAGAAACACACACACCTTAAGTGTGGCTCCTACACTGATTAACACACGGTTAGACGTCTCTGCTCTCAGAGACTATCAGGCTGTCACATATCTCCGTTCTGTCTGAGGAACTGTGTGTGTGTGTGTGTGTGTGTGTGTGTGTGTGTGTGTGTGTGTGTGTGTGTGTGTGTGTGTGTGTGTGTGTGTGTGTGTGTGTGTGTGTGTGTGTGTGTGTGTGTGTGTGTGTGTGTGTGTGTGTGTGCAGGCGCTGCATGTGGAAGGCGGCAGTGCTGGACTGATCCCCAGTCAGATGCTGGAGGAGAAGAGGAAGGCGTTTGTGAAGAGAGACGTGGAGCTGCCGCCTGCAGGTGACTGAGCCCAGAGGATGAATGAATAATACTTCAGGATAAAACAATCCATCAATTATAAATCCATAAATCTGAAATCTGAAGAGGATTTATTATTGTTCAAATCCAATCAAATCAAGTTTTATTTATAGCACATTTATAAACGATGTTTGGTGGAGCCAAAGTGCTGAACATAAAATAAAAATATCCTACAGTAGAGACTCTTTACAGCAAATACAACAACACAGACCCTCTGTCCTCAGACCCTCTGTCCTTAGACCCTCTGTCCTCAGACCCTCTGTCCTCAGACCCTCTGTCCTTAGACCCTCTGTCCTCAGACCCTCTGTCCTCAGACCCTCTGTCCTTAGACCCTCTGTCCTCAGACCCTCTGTCCTCAGACCCTCTGTCCTTAGACCCTCTGTCCTTAGACCCTCTGTCCTCAGACCCTCTGTCCTCAGACCCTCTGTCCTTAGACCCTCTGTCCTCAGACCCTCTGTCCTCAGACCCTCTGTCCTCAGACCCTCTGTCCTTAGACCCTCTGTCCTCAGACCCTCTGTCCCCTCAGACCCTCTGTCCTTAGACCCTCTGTCCTCAGACCCTCTGTCCTCAGACCCTCTGTCCTCAGACCCTCTGTCCTTAGACCCTCTGTCCTCAGACCCTCTGTCCCCTTAGACCCTCTGTCCTTAGACCCTCTGTCCTCAGACCCTCTGTCCTCAGACCCTCTGTCCTCAGACCCTCTGGCCTTAGACCCTCTGTCCTCAGACCCTCTGTCCTTAGACCCTCTGTCCTCAGACCCTCTGTCCTTAGACCCTCTGTCCTTAGACCCTCTGTCCTCAGACCCTCTGTCCTTAGACCCTCTGTCCTTAGACCCTCTGTCCTCAGACCCTCTGTCCTTAGAGCCTCTGTCCTTAGACCCTCTGTCCTCAGACCCTCTGTCCTCAGACCCTCTGTCCTCTGACCCTCTGTCCTTAGCCCCCTGTCCTTAGAGCCTCTGTCCTTAGACCCTCTGTCCTTAGAGCCCTCTGTCCTCAGACCCTCTGTCCTTAGACCCTCTGTCCTTAGACCCTCTGTCCTCAGACCCTCTGTCCTTAGACCCTCTGTCCTTAGACCCTCTGTCCTTAGACCCTCTGTCCTCAGACCCTCTGTCCTTAGACCCTCTGTCCTTAGACCCTCTGTCCTTAGACCCTCTGTCCTCAGACCCTCTGTCCTCAGACCCTCTGTCCTTAGAGCCTCTGTCCTCAGACCCTCTGTCCTCAGACCCTCTGTTCCTTCAGGACCCTCTGTCCTTTGACCCTCTGTCCTCAGACCCTCTGTCCTCAGACCCTCTGTCCTTAGACCCTCTGTCCTTAGACCCTCTGTCCTTAGACCCTCTGTCCTCAGACCCTCTGTCCTCAGACCCTCTGTCCTCAGACCCTCTGTCCTTAGAGCCTCTGTCCTTAGACCCTCTGTCCTCAGACCCTCTGTCCTCAGACCCTCTGTCCTCAGACCCTCTGTCCTTTGACCCTCTGTCCTCAGACCCTCTGTCCTCAGACCCTCTTGTCCTTAGACCCTCTGTCCTTAGACCCTCTGTCCTTAGACCCTCTGTCCTCAGACCCTCTGTCCTCAGACCCTCTGTCCTCAGACCCTCTGTCCTCAGACCCTCTGTCCTCAGATCCTCTGTCCTTAGACCCTCTGTCCTTAGACCCTCACATCGTACAAGGAAACACTTCCAGAGAAACCCCCAGTTTAAAGGGAACATGGAGAAACCTCAGGGAGAGCAACAGAGGAGGGATCCCTCTCCCAGGACGGACAGACGTGCAATAGATGCCGTGTGGAAATCCAAGAGATAATACATTTGACAGCATATAGACCGAATGTTAGGAAATGCATGAGTCTGTAATAAGAAGATGAATCCACGAGGATGTCAGCTCAGGTCGAGGTATACATCCTGACTCTTATCTGTATTGTGCCCGTTGACTCAGTCTCTCTGTGTCACGCTGCCCTCTGCTGGTGATGTGTGATACAGAGTCTCTCGCCATGCAGCAGCTTCAGAGGAGAGATGGAGATGAGAAACTGAAGTCTCCTCCAACAGAGCAACATGAATATATATATAGGACATGAAACTGATAAAAGAGTGCAAGAAAAGAGAATGTTTTGAGATGTACAATATAAATAGTGCAAGAAGAGTCGACAAGTAAATGAGATATAGATCAATAATTAGCAAGATGCAAACAGATGAATGTTATGGATGTTCTTCACAGAGTTCAGGAGTTTAATCGTCTTATTGTGGGATGAGTCTCTGAGTCTGCAACCTACCTGGTGATAAACCTGATTCCTGATCTGTGTGTGTGTGTGTGTGTGTGTGTGTGTGTGTGTGTGTGTGTGTGTGTGTGTGTGTGTGTGTGTGTGTGTGTGTGTGTGTGTGTGTGTGTGTGTGTGTGTGTGTGTGTGTGTGAGAGAGACAGGTAATCTGTGTACTGGTGTTGGAGGGAAGAAGAAGAAGAAGGTGATGTACGTGACGACCAAGAACGCAGGTAACAGCGGCCGTGAAACCTGCTTTATTATATTAAAACTAGAGCTGTCAAGTTAACGGGTTGTTAACGCACATTTATTTTAACGCCACTAATTATTTTTACATGCGAGAGATATAACAGCGAGCCAAGCTCACAGCTGATGCTCAGCCCCGCTCCTGCCGCTCGCTTGCAGCAGACCACGCTTGAAGGTTTTCCGGGGAGACGCCTGGACGACAACAGCGATAGCTAAATGGGGGGCTACAGCTTAACACTGAGGAGGACGAGGGGCTGCGTTATATCGTTCGGATCGCGGCCAACGTGTCGACTGCACATCACAGCGCATTGTTCTGACCCACAGTGGGAACTTCAGTTCAGATTAATCGCTATTAACTATTTGAATCGACTGACAGCCCTAATTAAAATAATATGACTCTGACCTGCTCTTGGTCTTTGACCCTGTGTCCCTCAGAGTTTGACAGACATGAGATCTTGCTGTACGAGGAGGTGGCGAAGGTCCCGCCCTTCAAGAGGAAGACGCTGGTTCTGATTGGAGCGCAGGGCGTTGGGAGGAGGAGGCTGAAGAACAAGATGCTGCTGAGGGACCCCCTGCTGTTCGGCACCACCATCCCATGTAGGACCATTTACTGTGTGTGTGTGTGTGTGTGTGTGTGTGTGTGTGTGTGTGTGCGTGCGTGCAATCTAAGAAAAAAAGAATACAATATTCCGATATAAATAAGAATGTAAAAAAAGAATGTGCACATCGTACTCTGACATATTTAAATATTTGAAATGTGTGTGTTGTGTTTTTTTCTTCAGACACCTCCAGGAAGCCGAAGAAGGAGGACAAGGAGAGCCGGATGTTCGGGTTCACCAGCCGGAGCAAGATGGAGGTCGACATAAAGAGCGGGCGCTTCCTGGAGCACGGAGAGTACGACGGGAACCTGTACGGCATCAAGATGGAGTCCATTCACGAGGTGGTGGAGGCCGGGAGGGTCTGTGTGCTGGATGCTAACCCACAGGTGAGACATGAGTCAGCATTATGAGTCTGTGTGCTGGATGCTAACCCACAGGTGAGACATGAGTCAGCATTATGAGTCTGTGTGCTGGATGCTAACCCACAGGTGAGACATGAGTCAGCATTATGAGTCTGTGTGCTGGATGCTAACCCACAGGTGAGACATGAGTCAGCATTATGAGTCTGTGTGCTGGATGCTAACCCACAGGTGAGACATGAGTCAGCATTATGAGTCTGTGTGCTGGATGCTAACCCACAGGTGAGACATGAGTCAGCATTATGAGTCTGTGTGCTGGATGCTAACCCACAGGTGAGACATGAGTCAGCATTATGAGTCTGTGTGCTGGATGCTAACCCACAGGTGAGACATGAGTCAGCATTATGAGTCTTAAAACTCAGCATTTTTAACTAAGGAATATGTGTGTGTGTGTGTGTGTGTGTGTGGTGTGTGTGTGTGTGTGTGTGTGGTGTGTGTGTGTGTGTGTGTGTGGTGTGTGTGTGGTGTGTGTGTGTGTGTGTGTGTGTGTGTGTGTGTGTGTGTGTGTGTGTGTGTGTGTGTGTGTGTGTGTGTCAGTCCCTCAAAGTGCTCCGGACCTCGGACTTCCTCCCCTACGTGGTGTTCCTCCAGGCTCCAGACTTCGAGGTGCTGAAGGCGATGAACCAATCAGCTGTGGAGGCTGAGGTGGTGACTAAGACTCTGACGGTGAGGAACACGCCGTGGAGATCATGGAAACATGACGTTAAAGATTCTCTCTCACCATGAGCTCAGCAGCTTCAGAGGAGATATGGAGATGACAAGAGAATGTTTTGAGATACAAATAAAATAGAAATAGTGCCAGAACAGTCTGTATACAAGTGGAATGTGATAGATCAATAATTAGCACGATGACAGACGGTGAATGTTCTGGATGTTCTTCACAGAGCTCAGGTGTGCTGTCTCTGAGTCTGCTGGTTTGAGTCCTGCCGTACAGAACAGTCTGCTGGCTTAGTGTTGCAGGGATGAGTCTGTAGGGCTGTAGGAGTCTGCTGTCCTGTTTTCTAGGGGTGCACCGAATGGGAAATTCTTGGCCGAAACCGATACCGAAAATAGGAAACAGTTGGCCGAAAACCGAATGCCGAAAGGCCGAAAATGATTAATATAAATATATATATATAATGTATACATTTTTGACCAATGTTGTTCAGCTACCTGATTATGGAAATAGACATGATTATGGCAAAACTTAACTTAAATAATAATCACTATTATGGGTCCATAAAACATTTATTCAGCACTTTTGAATGCATACAGTACATTTATATATGTCATGTATTATTGCTAACAAACATTATATCGCAGTCTTAGTGTCGCCAACTCGTTTCTAATATGCAAAGACAACAAATGCGTCTATGATGTATTTTCGATCAGACGAGATCTCTCTCCCGTCTGTGTGCGAGGGGGCGGGGCAGTTTACACACACGCAGCTGCTACATGCAGCGGAGCACACTGCGGAGATGGCGGAGAGAACGCGCTCCGAGGTGTGGTTACACTTTACCCGTCTCGATGTGGAGAATACTTGTTACCATAAGTGCAATAAGAGTTTAGCATGTAAGCACGAGCAATGTGTCTAAACATTTAGCAAAAGTGCACCGCATGCAGACGGAGGAATGTACCGGGTTCGACCGTCTTTCTAGCAGCTCTGTAGCCCCATCCACGAGTAACGTTTCCACGTCAGGTGTTATGTATGCTAGCAGCAACACACGGAGTTAACTCCATGATACAAACACGGGTTAATGATTAGAGGAAACTGAGTTATTTAGTTTGTTAAAGTTTCAGCTATTCTGTTTACAGTCTGTCATCAGATTATTTAATACGATTTGTTAAAGGCTCAGTAATCTCGATGACAAAGGTCAATCAATCAATCAATCAATCAATCAATGTTTATTTATATAGCCCAATATCACAAATGTTACATTTGTCTCAGTGGACTTTACAGTTTGTACAAAATATCAGTATGACAATACGACACCCTCTGTCCTTAGACCCTCTGGCCTTAGACCCTCTGTCCTTAGACCCTCTGTCCTTAGACCCTCACATCGTACAAGGAAAAACTTCCGAAGAAAACCCACAGTTTAAAGGGAACATGGGAGAAACCTCAGGGAGAGCAACAGAGGAGGGATCCCTCTCCCAGGACGGACAGACGTGCAATAGATGCCGTGTGTAAATTGAAAAGATAATACATTTGCAACATAGGTAGTCCAAATGTTTGGAAATGCATGTGTGTAGAATAGGAAGATGAATCCACGAGGATATCCATCCAGGACCTATGATCCAGGACCACAGCCACGACTCAAGATCCAGGACAGAGGAGCGCAGGATCATCCATGACTCCGGATCCCGGCGTATATAGACACCAAAAAGAAAGACATTTGGGGAAGCTGGGTTAATGGGAACATGAGTGTACACAGGTATAGACAGAGAGAAGGAAGAAGGAAGATGTCCCCCGACAAACTAAGCCTATATCAGCAAAACTAGGGGCTGAATCTAATCAGCCCTAACTATAAGCTTTATCAAAAAGGAAGGTCTTAAGCGCACTCTTAAAAACGGATAGGGTGTCTGCCGCCCGAACACAAACTGGAAGCTGATTCCACAAATGTGGAGCTTGATAAGAAAAGGGTCAATGTTCCCCCCCCCCCCTGTGAGCCAGCTGCGAGCATGGTCGCCGCGTCTTTATTACGTCATCACAACAACACGTTAGGTTACCAACGTAAGCCTGTTCTGACATTCGGTGATATTTTTTCGGTGCTAAAACCCTTTCGGCCGAAAGCCGAAAGGGCCTTTTTAACCATTTTCGGCCGATAATTTTCGGTGGCCGAATATTCGGTGCATCCCTACTGTTTTCCCCTCTCACCCTGTTGCTGGTAAACTGCTGAGTTTCCCCACGGGCATGAAGCGAGGTGCATCTGTCCTTATCTTTTCAAATAAGAAATGAATGAAATGAACATATAAACAGATTTGGCCGTCGATGGATGTCAGGCCGACGATGAGCGTCCTGTCGCCCTACTCAGATTGGTGTGTCCCGCACTGTTGTGTCTTTTCGGCCGTGCCCACCGATTCTACGTGTCGAATCGGTGGGCAATCGGCCAAAGGCTGTCGGTCAAAGCAATCCCTCTGATTGGCTGTTCAGCTAGCGAATCAGTGAGGGACCCAAACAAACTATTAAGAAGGCAGATGTGAGATTTGATTGAACTCCAGCTCTCGACAGGTTCGGGAGCTGGAGAGGGAACATGGAACGCACGCTATTTGTTGTTTGTTTATATCACGTAGTCTGTTCTTCTTCTCTCGGTCATCACGCAGTTTGTCTTCCGGTTGCCTCTTTTGAATGACGAATACACACCACCGCCGCCTGCTGGTAAGGAGAGTTATTGCCACTCATGCGCAGTTCGTGCTTCTTGGCCGTCGGCTGGAGTCTTTGCGGTGTGTTCCAGACACACGGCCGAGACGCAGAGACGTGAGGCGACACAGCAGTCGGGTCCGTCTGTGTCAGTTCTTTGGAGTCAGATTGGTGTGTCCGGGCCTTACAACTGAAACCACCAGACTCAGAGACAGTTTCATCCCACAGGCCATAAGACTGTGAAACCTGAACTCTGAAGAACATCCATGAACACTCGTCTGTTTGCATCTTATATCAATATTCCAGTGACTTGCATGTAGACTCTTCCGCCCTCTTGTATCTGTGTTATTGTGTTGCTCTGCCGGAGGAGCCTGTGACCTCAGATCTTCTTTGTCATAACTACACTACTAGGGGTGTAACGGTATCCGTATTCGTCCCGTAACGTCACGGTTCGGACGTCACGGTTCGGCACACGCAGTCACACGACGAATACGCCCTTTTTTTATGAGTGGGAAAAAAGTATTTCATTCAGGGCAGTATCCACTACACTCTATATAATCCAGGGGGCGGTATTGCGCCTAAAAGCTGTTTGCCAGCCGCCCTTAAACAACAAATGAAGAACAAGAAGAAACACAACGAACAAAATACAAGAAGAAGAAAAGTTAGTTTGGCGATTTCAGATAACACACAGGAGCTAGAACCACCTGCTTCTTTTACATCAGCTGTGTGGGAACATGTCGGGTTCCCTGTGGACTAAATAACGATGGAGTGTACGAGTGGTGGATCGGACGAGGACGGTGTGTCTGCGTTGTTCTACAGTGGTGCGGTATGCTAATGGTAACACACGCCAAACATGCTACATCATATCAGAAGGCATCACCCAGATTTGCCAATCACCGGAGCCCAAAAGACAGCAGCAGTTCAGCAGCTGATCCCCGCTGTTTTTAAGAAGACAAGAGACACGAGAGCCGAGAGACCAAAAGAAATAACGGAAGCTTTTGGCATATGTTTTTCAACGACTTGAAACACTTTCTTATTATTTATGATGTCACATTTTCAAGACATTCTTTTTAGCTTTACAGCTTGATGAAACCTTTTTGTTTGACATCAGCCATTATAGATAATATGGCCATCTGAGTGTGTGGTTTGTTTTTAACTGTTTAATACAGTTCATTATTCAAAAAAGAGTTCTTTATTTTTAAACTGAAACTTGCTACTGTTCAAACATAAATAACAACAAACCTGGAATTATGCATTTGGGACTTTTTTTTGCTTTTTCTTGTTGAACCGAACCGTGACTTCTGTGAACCGTTACACCCCTATACACTACAGCTGACACCCAGAGATGTGTGTGTGTTTCAGGACGAGGAGCTGCAGAGGACGTGTGATGAGAGCTTGAAGCTCCAGGCGGCCTTCGAGCACTACTTCGACCTGAGCATCGTGAACGACAACCTGGACGAGACGTACCGCAGCGTGAAGGCGGCGCTGCAGACCGTCTCCAAGAACCCCCAGTGGGTCCCTGTCACATGGCTGTTCTGAACACTGTGTGTGTGTGTGCGTGCGTGCGTGCGTACGTGCGTGCGTGCGTGCGTACGTGCGTGCGTGCGTGCGTGCGTGCGTGCGCTTTGGATTTCAAAACCATGTTTTTACATTTTTGGACTCTCATTGTTTACATTTCATATCAGAGTGCTGGTAACAAATTATTTTTACTATTAAATGAACAAATATGAGTGATGGAAATACACTGAACACACACCTCACAGCTTCTTGTTTAGTGCCTGGCAGCATGTACGCAGACCGACAGGTTAAACACGCTGCAGCTTCAGAAAGGATGCAGATTTAAAAACCCAAAGGTTCCACATGCAGCGTTTAGAGAACACTCAGCAGCTTGAGGAGACATGGCAGCGTTTAGAGAACATTCAGCAGCTTGAGGAGACATGGCAGCGTTTAGAGAACACTCAGCAGCTTGAGGAGACATGGCAGCGTTTAGAGAACATCCAGCAGCTTGAGGAGACATGGCAGCGTTTAGAGAACATCCAGCAGCTTGAGGAGACATGGCAGCGTTTAGAGAACATCCAGCAGCTTGAGGAGACATGGCAGCGTTTAGAGAACATCCAGCAGCTTGAGGAGACATGGCAGCGTTTAGAGAACATCCAGCAGCTTGAGGAGACATGGCAGCGTTTAGAGAACACTCAGCAGCTTGAGGAGACATGGCAGCGTTTAGAGAACATCCAGCAGCTTGAGGAGACATGGCAGCGTTTAGAGAACATCCAGCAGCTTGAGGAGACATGGCAGCGTTTAGAGAACATCCAGCAGCTTGAGGAGACATGGCAGCGTTTAGAGAACATCCAGCAGCTTGAGGAGACATGGCAGCGTTTAGAGAACATCCAGCAGCTTGAGGAGACATGGCAGCGTTTAGAGAACACTCAGCAGCTTGAGGAGACATGGCAGCGTTTAGAGAACATCCAGCAGCTTGAGGAGACATGGCAGCGTTTAGAGAACATCCAGCAGCTTGAGGAGACATGGCAGTTTAGACATCCAGCAGCTGAGGACATGCCGTTTAGAGAACATCCAGCAGCTTGAGGAGACATGGCAGCGTTTAGAGAACATCCAGCAGCTTGAGGAGACATGGCAGCGTTTAGAGAACACTCAGCAGCTTGAGGAGACATGGCAGCGTTTAGAGAACATCCAGCAGCTTGAGGACACATGGCAGCGTTTAGAGAACATCCAGCAGCTTGAGGAGACATGGCAGCGTTTAGAGAACATCCAGCAGCTTGAGGAGACATGGCAGCGTTTAGAGAACATCCAGCAGCTTGAGGAGACATGGCAGCGTTTAGAGAACATCCAGCAGCTTGAGGAGACATGGCAGCGTTTAGAGAACATCCAGCAGCTTGAGGAGACATGGCAGCGTTTAGAGAACACTCCAGCAGCTTGAGGAGACATGGCAGCGTTTAGAGAACATCCAGCAGCTTGAGGAGACATGGCAGCGTTTTAGAGAACATCCAGCAGCTTGAGGAGACATGGCAGCGTTTAGAGAACATCCAGCAGCTGAGGAGACATGGCAGCGTTTAGAGAACATCCAGCAGCTTGAGGAGACATGGCAGCGTTTAGAGAACATCCAGCAGCTTGAGGAGACATGGCAGCGTTTAGAGAACATCCAGCAGCTTGAGGAGACATGGCAGCGTTTAGAGAACACTCAGCAGCTTGAGGAGACATGGCAGCGTTTTAGAGAACATCCAGCAGCTTGAGGAGACATGGCAGCGTTTAGAGAACATCCAGCAGCTTGAGGAGACATGGCAGCGTTTAGAGAACATCCAGCAGCTTGAGGAGACATGGCAGCGTTTAGAGAACATCCAGCAGCTTGAGGAGACATGGCAGCGTTTAGAGAACATCCAGCAGCTTGAGGAGACATGGCAGCATTTAGAGAACACTCCAGCAGCTTGAGGAGACATGGCAGCGTTTAGAGAACATCCAGCAGCTTGAGGAGACATGGCAGCGTTTTAGAGAACATCCAGCAGCTTGAGGAGACATGGCAGCGTTTAGAGAACATCAGCAGCTTGAGGAGACATGGCAGCGTTTAGAGAACATCCAGCAGCTTGAGGAGACATGGCAGCGTTTAGAGAACATCCAGCAGCTTGAGGAGACATGGCAGCGTTTAGAGAACATCCAGCAGCTTGAGGAGACATGGCAGCGTTTAGAGAACATCCAGCAGCTTGAGGAGACATGGCAGCGTTTAGAGAACATCCAGCAGCTTGAGGAGACATGGCAGCGTTTAGAGAACATCCAGCAGCTTGAGGAGACATGGCAGCGTTTAGAGAACATCCAGCAGCTTGAGGAGACATGGCAGCGTTTAGAGAACACTCCAGCAGCTTGAGGAGACATGGCAGCGTTTAGAGAACATCCAGCAGCTTGAGGAGACATGGCAGCGTTTAGAGAACATCCAGCAGCTTGAGGAGACATGGCAGCGTTTAGAGAACATCCAGCAGCTTGAGGAGACATGGCAGCGTTTAGAGAACATCCAGCAGCTTGAGGAGACATGGCAGCGTTTAGAGAACATCCAGCAGCTTGAGGAGACATGGGCAGCGTTTAGAGAACATCAGCAGCTTGAGGAGACATGGCAGCGTTTAGAGAACACTCAGCAGCTTGAGGAGACATGGCAGCGTTTAGAGAACATCCAGCAGCTTGAGGAGACATGGCAGCGTTTAGAGAACATCCAGCAGCTTGAGGAGACATGGCAGCGTTTAGAGAACATCAGCAGCTTGAGGAGACATGGCAGCGTTTAGAGAACATCCAGCAGCTTGAGGAGACATGGCAGCGTTAGAGAACATCCAGCAGCTTGAGGAGACATGGCAGCGTTAGAGAAATCAGCAGCTTAGCTGAGAGAACATCCAGCAGCTTGAGGAGACATGGCAGCGTTTAGAGAACACTCAGCAGCTTGAGGAGACATGGCAGCGTTTAGAGAACATCCAGCAGCTTGAGGAGACATGGCAGCGTCTAGAGAACATCCAGCAGCTTGAGGAGACATGGCAGCGTTTAGAGAACATCCAGCAGCTTGAGGAGACATGACAGCGTTTAGAGAACATCCAGCAGCTTGAGGAGGCATGGCAAGCGTTTAGAGAACACTCAGCAGCTTGAGGAGACATGGCAGCGTTTAGAGAACATCCAGCAGCTTGAGGAGACATGGCAGCGTTTAGAGAACATCCAGCAGCTTGAGGAGACATGGCAGCGTTTAGAGAACACTCAGCAGCTTGAGGAGACATGGCAGCGTTTAGAGAACATCCAGCAGCTTGAGGAGACATGGCAGCGTTTAGAGAACACTCAGCAGCTTGAGGAGACATGGCAGCGTTTAGAGAACATCCAGCAGCTTGAGGAGACATGGCAGCGTTTAGAGAACATCCAGCAGCTTGAGGAGACATGGCAGCGTTTAGAGAACATCCAGCAGCTTGAGGAGACATGGCAGCGTTTAGAGAACATCCAGCAGCTTGAGGAGACATGGCAGCGTTTAGAGAACATCCAGCAGCTTGAGGAGACATGGCAGCGTTTACTAAAAGCTGCAGAACCAAACGCTGAAGAAGCTCATTTGAACAATGTGGTCACATGACTTCTGATGTCACTGCAGGTCTGCTATAAGCTAGCTAGCTAACGTAGCTAACCCTGATGTGTGTCCCCTGGTTCTCGTTGTGTTTTTATATCTGCATCGTGTCTCCTGAAGGACGAGGTTTGGGCGTTTGCACCTGTCGGCCACCGTAAGCATGAAATGAAAAAGGTTGTTAACGTCTATTGTCACATTAACAGAGCCTTTGTTGTCTTTTATTTATTTAACGTAGTGACACACACACACACTGTAAAACACACACTCAGATACCTCATTCACACCAACGCAACCTCGGTTCAAACTCCGTGTTAGAGCTTTTCAGGTTCAGAACCGGTTCTTCGGTTTAGCTCCGGCTCTTTTCACACCGCCCAGAGTCCGACTGGTGCTGCGTCGTTGCGTCATCGTTTGCGTCATGACGTAACCGTTTGCGTGCCTGCTTCATAAAGCCAAACCGCACGGAAACCCCTCACAGCTCACAACAACAACAACAATGGCCGATTGTGCTCCAGCTTCCTGTGCACCTCTTCTGAAGACCAGATTCCCAGCAGGTAGCTGGTCTCTTCAGTGGACCACTGCTGCTTGTTAAGTTTCTCCATCGTTGTACAAACTGGATAAAACGCAGGCTTGTTGTTGTTGTTGTTCAGGAGTTGATCTGTCTCTGCCCCCCCCTCCTCGACGTAAGCGTGACGTATGTGGTGCTTTTGCTCTAGCCGGACAATTTTTTGGTGCTTGAAACGAACCGGATTCCGGAGCTAAGAGGCAGCTCCGCTGCGGTGTGAACAGGAAAACCCGGTGCTTTTCAAGCTCCAGCTCCGAACCGGCCCTGAAACACCGTTGGTGTGAATGTTCAGAAGCTCTATTTTACTACAGTTTTGTTTTTCATGAGAAATATTTCTGTTCTTTTTTATTTTGTAGTATTTATATTTCTAAATAAAACGTTGTCTTTGTATTAATGAACTCAGTTTGTAGATAGCATGTAGAGACACGATGTTTAGTGTGAGACGCCAGGTGTTTACAGTGAGAGCTCTTTAACTGTCCATGTGCCAAACGCAGATCTCCTATTCTGGCAGCTACTGAATATTCAGACGCACAATAGAGAGGTGCAGGGTGTCCTACTCCTGTGTTGGTCACATGACACGTCTCCAAGCTAAAGGTGGCTAATGTTGGGCTATAAAGGAACTACAGCATGGTCACATGACTTCACGTCCCCACCGCTAAGCTAAAGGAGGCTAATGTTGGGCTATAAAGGAACTACAGCACGGTCACATGACTTCACGTCCCCACCGCTAAGCTAAAGGTGGCTAATGTTGGGCTATAAAGGAACTACAGCACGGTCACATGACTTCACGTCACCTCCGCTAAGCTAAAGGAGGCTAATGTTGGGCTATAAAGGAACTACAGCACGGTCACATGACTTCACGTCACCACCGCTAAGCTAAAGGTGGCTAATGTTGGGCTATAAAGGAACTACAGCACGGTCACATGACTTCACGTCACCACCGCTAAGCTAAAGGTGGCTAATGTTAGGCTATAAAGGAGCTACAGCACGGTCACATGACTTCACGTCACCACCGCTAAGCTAAAGGAGGCTAATGTTGGGCAATAAAGGAACTACAGCACGGTCACATGACTTCACGTCACCACCGCTAAGCTAAAGGAG